TCTCCTTAAATATGTTAAATTTTGTTGGGAAGCGACGTGAGACTTTCTGCTGCATTATAGGTGCTATATCAATACACACTGAAGCTGTTGTTTATGCCCTTGCGTAACCTGTTATGACAGTAGATGCTAGTGATGCACAGAAACCCCTTGTGACCCCTGTTGCTCAGAAACAAATGGTAAGAAACCCTCTTCTCATTCTGTGTAAAACAGTGTCTCTTTTTTCAAGTCTGATTCTTCCATCTTTGCTCTGATAAGCGCAAGATGATAAGTTTCAACTCACAGTTCCCTTCTAGCAATGTTTCAGTCTATACTAGTAAGAATTTATTGAGAGGAAATCCTTGATGCAATGTATGTTGCGCATTTGAGTGGTGTCCTTAAATAATTGTGCACCCGGGTATGAAATTGATGGACATGACCAAAGGCATTGGCTTGTAATTGCCTGGCTGGAGGGAGTCACTGTTCATTTTGAAACAAGTACACAGATCAGTTGTGATCTCACTGAGTGGCCCACCCACTGTTCCTGATTAGCATGGTGGCTCAGCGGTTCCCACTTCTGTCTTTCCCGTGCGAGGGACCCAGGTTCAGTTCTAGCCTCGGGTGACTGACTGTGTGGAGTTTGCACATTCTCCCCGTGTCTGTGTCGGTTTCAAAGTTACAGTTTGGGGAGGGGTGCTCTTCGGAGGGTCAGTGTGAACTCAATAGGCTGAATGGCCTGCTTCCACACTGTAGAGATTCTATTATCAATTGCATAGAGGGATTGGGAGACATGGTGGAGAATAGGGGTGACCATAGGAGGAGACATTTCCTCAGCAGTGGTCCGTACCTCATGAAATCAGTTTGCAGTAAAAACAGAAACTACTGGAATTACTCAGGTAGTGAGGCAGCCTCTGTAGACAGAGTCAGAGGACTACATTTTAACTCCAGAGTTCTGATCCTAACATAAGACTGAATTGTAGATCAGGTATGTGGAAGGGGCCATGCTGGGAAACTGGCATGGTTATTAAAGCTGCATACCTCAACCCCAACCCTCAACAGGCGCCTTGCTGAAATAAGGATGGCTCTACAGCTAGGGAGGCCGATGAGAGGACGGTGGCCTGGGCAGCTGCACTGGGAGAGGTGGGTGTTGCCTTTGTAGGTCGAGGAGTAGGAGGCATCTCAAGGTGGAACACCCTCTGAAGACTTGGAAATGATCCGACATATACGATGGCCACAACTGCCAGGCCATCACGGTGGAGGAACCTCTCTGCATCAAAATTAAGGGGCGGCACGGTGGCACAGTGGTTAGCACTGCTGCCTCACAGCGCCAGGGACCTGGGTTCAATCCCACCCTCGGGCGACTGCCTGCGCGGAGTTTGCACGTTCATCCCATGGGTTTCCTCCGGGTGCTCTGGTCTCCTCCTGTCATCCAATGATGTGAAGGTTAGGGTGGATTGGCCATGAGAAAATGCTCACAGTATTCAGGGATGTACAGGCTAGGTGGGTTAGCCACGGGGAATGCAGGGTTACAGGGGTCGGGGAGGGGGCTGTGTCTGGGTGGGATGGTCTTCAGAGGGCCGGTGTGGACTTGATGGGCCAAATGGCCTGCTTCCACACTGTAAGGATTCTATAATTCTAAGGGTTCAGTAATAAGGTGAATGGCAGGAGAGAGATTCAATGACACTTTGTGGAAGCAAGGCCAAATAAAGTTGCAGCCAGATGAATAAATGATTAAAAGCTGGAGCGGGAGGAGATGCAAGTGAGAAAAGCCGAACTGTCTGTGCAGAAGACTTGGTAGGGGGTGGGGGACAGAGGTTGTAATTGGAAATTATTGAACTCAGTGTTGAGTCTGGAGGGCTGTAAAGTGCCTCGTGTGTAGATGAGGTGCTGATCTTGCAATTTGCAGTGAGCTTCACTGGAACAGTATAGGATGCCAAGGGACAGAGAGGTCACATTGGGTCAGAGAATTAAATAACAGTGATGGGTGACTGAGCTTCAGGTGCGCAGACTGAACCGAGGGGTTTTGCAAAGTGACCATGCAGTGTGGTTGGTTGTGGAGCAGGCTGCATTGTGAACAGCATTGAAAGAAGCACAAATTATTCACCAGAAGAACTGTGGATGCTGTAAATCAGAAACAGAAACAGAAATTGCTGGAAAAGCTCAGCAGGTCTGGCAGCATCTGTGGAGAGTAATGGGAGTTAACATTTCAGGTCAGTTCTAAGGAAGGGGCACTTGACCTTAACATTAACTCTGATTTCTCTCCACAGACCTACTGACTTTTTCCAGCAATTTCTGTCTTTGTTACAAATTATTCACTATGTCACTTTGTATGGCACAATCTGCCTGCACAGCACGCAAACAACACTTTCAACTGTTTCTTGGTACATGTGACAACAATAAATAGATCAACCAATCAAATGGACATATGAGATGGAGCGGGAGAAGGCCATTCCATTCCTTGAGCCTACTGTAAGATTATGGCTGATCAAGTTACCTCATATTCCCTTCAACCTCAGGTAAATTTTCTTGCTTATCGAAACTATGCCTACCTCTGCCCTACAAATATTCAAGGACTCTGGAACTCTCTCAAACGATGGTGGACAAAAACACTCACATAGAGTCATACAGCCATACAGCGCAGAAACCGACCCTTCGGTTCAACCGTCCATGCCGAAAATAATCCCAAACTAATCCCATCTGCCTGCGCTTGGCCCATATCCTTCCAAATATTTCTTATTCATGTACTTATCCAAATGTCTTTTAAAAATTGTAACTGTACTCATATCCACTACATCCTCTGGAAGTTCATTCCACACACATGATGTGGAGGTGCTAGTGTTGGACTGGGATGGACAAAGTCAGAAATCACCTACACCAAGTTATAGTCCAACAGGTTTATTTGAAAACACAAGCTTTCAGAGTCTTACTCCTTCTTCAGGTGTTAGTGAGAGAGGTAGTATCAGACACAGAATATATAAGTACCATGAAAGACTCTCCTTCTCAACCTCTCCTCTTGCTTGAGGTACTGATCACCCTCAGGTTAAACCACCACCAGTCGTCTTTCTCTCTCTGATGAGAGAGCAGCCCTATGGCCTGGTAAGGCTATGGTGACACAACAACATTCAGGAATACTGTTTCCCCAGTCAGTGCATCGCAAAAGGGTTAGTGTGCAGGTAAAACAAGTAACTAGGAAAGATTGTAGAATGTTATCATTTATTTAGGGAGGGGTTGGAATGGATAGAGATGTTATACTTCAGTTATACAGGTGATACCACACCTGGGATAATGTATACAGTACTGGTTACCTTATTTAGGCAAGTCTGTAAAGGCATCAGATGCAGTTCAGTTTTCTCACCTTAAAAATATGCCCCCTGGTCTTGAAATTCCCTATCCTAGGGAAAAGACACCTGCTATTCACCTTATCTATAACCATAGTAATTTATAAACCTCTGCAAGGTCACCGCTCGACCTCCTACACTCCAGTGAAAACAGTCCCAGCCTAACCAGCCTCTCCTTATAACTCAAACCCTCCAATCCCAGCAACATCCTGGTAAATCTTTTCTGAACTCTCTCCAGCTTAATAATATCCTTCCTATAACTGGGTGACCAGAACTGGACACAGTATTCCAAAAGAGGCCTCACCAATGTCCTGTAAAACCTCAACATGACTTCCCAACTCCTAACCTCAGGGAGGAAAAATAATTGCCTTGTCTCTGTCTTAGATGTTTATTTTTGAACAATGACCATTAATTTTAGATTCTCCCATAAGAGGAATCCTTGTTTCCACGTGTGCTCTGTTATGATCCCTCCAGATCTTATTTGTTTCAGTCAAGTCGTCTGTTACTCCAGCAACTACAAACCTTACCTGTCCTCGCAAGATAACAGCTCCATTCCAGGTTTAAGGTGGTTAAACACTCTCTGAACTGCAACAAATGCCTTTACAGCCATGCTTAAGTAACCAGTACTGTATAAACTATCCCAGGTGTGGTATCACCTGTATAACTGACGTATGACATCTCTATCCATTCCAACCCTCTCTATATAAAGGATAACATTCTACAATCTTTCCTAGTTACTAGTTTGACCTGTACACTAACCCTTTTGCGATGCACTGACTGGCGGAAACAGTATTCCTGAATGTTGTTGTGTCACCGTAGCCTTACCAGGCCATAGGGCTGCTCTCTCATCAGAGAGACAAAGACGACTGGTGGTGGTTTAATCTGAGGGTGACCCGTACCTCAAGCAGGAGGAGAGTCTTTCATGCTGGCCTCAGCCTGTGATGGGGATTGAACCCATGCTGTTGGCATCACACTGCTGCACAAATCAAACCCCCACGAAGTATGAGATAACAAGGTGCAGAGCTGGATGAACACAGCAGGCCAAGCAGCATCAGAGGAGCTGGAAGGCTGACGTTTCGGCCTAGAAAGGTCTGTATACACAATCCCAGGACCCTCTGAAGAAGGGTCTAGGCCCGAAACGTCAGCCTTCCTGCTCCTCTGATGCTACTTGGCCTGCTGTGTTCATCCAGCTCTACACCTTATTATCTCAGATTCTCCATCATCTGCAGTTCCTACTATCTCTGAAACAATTTTAACCTCCCTCCCCCACGAAGTATTCCGGAATACCCTTATGTCAACAGGGGAAGGGGGCGGAAATTGACCAGACTTTGTGTGGTGGAGTTGGAAGAAACTGATCAGAGAGGGAGAAAGAGAAATTGATCAATGCCAGGGGGAGAGAAACTCACTGGAGAGGAAGAGAAACTGACCAGGAGTGAGGAAGGGAGAGAAACTGATGGGGTTGGCGTGGGAATTGACACACAGAAGGGAAGAGGAGCTGAAAACAGGTAGGGGGAAAAGGAGTGTGTGAGGGACAATAAGATCTGTGGAGGAGAAAGTGAGCCTAGAGCTGTAAAGGAGCAGGGTTCTCTCTCTCTGTGATTACAGTCAGCCCCGGGCAGGCGCTAGTTAACTTTACAAGGGGGAGGGACACCTTTTCCGTCGCTAGGGAGAGGGATCGGTTGGAAACACAAAGATGTGGCTGTAAACATCGAGTCCAGGAGGTGGGGGGTGGGGGTTTGGGTGAAGCTGCCTTTTGCAAACGCCTCTCCCTGAGCCCCAGTAGCAAGTTTGGGATCGCGGGCTCCGCTTTAAAAAGTGCGAACCATGAGGAGCCCCTGCACGCCTGCGGGGGTCTGGTTGTGAACTTCACCCCTATCCCTCCCTCCAACATCCCACCTTGGGGCATGGCCAACGCTCACAACATCCAGTCGGCCACCGCCAAAAGTATCCGGCCGTTCAAATCCAGCGGGGAGTACCTGCTAGCCATGAAGGAGGACCTGGCCGAATGGCTGCATGAGCTCTATGGGTTGCAGGTCAGTGCCCAGGGTTTACTGGAGGCACTGCAGACCGGCTGGCTCCTGTGCACTCACGCTAACAATGTCACCAGAGTGGCTAAGGATTTCTCCCGGGAATACCCCCAGCTCCTTTCCAGGCTCAAGCTGCCCCAGGCCGAGGTCACCTACACCACCTCAGCCCAGGCCGGCACTTTCCAGGCCCGGGACAACATCTCCAACTTCATCAACTGGTGCCGCAAGGAACTGGAGATTCAAGGTGATTGTAGACTGTATAACTCTCTTCACCAACTCTTTCTCTGTCTGTCTCTCCCTCCCATCCACCTTGACTTTGCCAAGATACAGGCCATGCCAAAGGTGCCAACTACCAACTGCTGCTGTGCCTCGGTTATCAGGCTACCAACTGTAGATAAGTTAGGACATCTGATAAATGAACTGCTTATTCTAACTGGTTTGTAGTTTTGCAGGCGCTTCAGATTTAGATCCAAGTTCCTTTCAAGTGAGCACTTCTGCCTGCTCTTCCCCCCCGCCATCACTGAAAGATTTGCCTCATGTCCCCTTTAATACTATCAATCACCTTCAATCTGTGCCCCTTCCCCAGAAAGTTTTTCCTCAGTGCCCTAGTGGTATTGTTGCTGGATTGTTAATCCAGAGTCTCAGGCAGTGTTCGGGACACCCAGGTTCGAATCCCACTGGGGCAGATGGTGGAATTTGAATTCAGTTATTATCCAGAATTAAGAGTCTATTGATGACCCTGAATGCATTGTCAGTTGTCAGGAAAAAACCCATCTGGTTCACTAATGCCCTTTAGGGAAGGAAACAGCCATTCTTACCTGGTTTGAACTCCATGTGACTCCAGATCCACAGCAATGTGGTTGACTCTTAACTGCCCTCTGGGCAATTATGGATGGGCAATAAATATTGGTGTAACCAGTGCCATCCACATCTTGTGAATACAGTTTTAAAAAGCCCCCCTCTAATCGTTCTATCAATCGCCTTAAATCTGTGCCCCCCTGCCCCGTGATTGACCCCTTCCCCAGGAAGAACAGGTCTTTCCTGTTGATTCTACCTCTGCCCCTCATAACTTTGAACACCTCAGTTAAGTCATCCCTTGGCCTCCCTCTGCTCAAAGGTGAAATAACCCTGCTGAGTCCAACTTTTCTTCATTGCTGCAATTTTAAGATAACAAGCTTGTAGATCTCCTCTGTACTCTCCGCAGAGCAGTTCTGTCCTCCTTGTGATATGGTGACCAGAACTGTACCCAAAACACCAGCTGTCGCCAAACCCAGTGATTAATACAGTTCCACCATTACATCCTGGTCTACTTGGCCAAGAAAGGGATATGCTGCTAGGCTATTTGACAGTTGTAGGTATCATACCAGATATGATTGCTTCCTCCATCTCTGTTTTCCTTCATTCATCTGAAACCTCAATTCTCCCACCTTGTCCCCACAGGTATAGTCCGACTTGCTTCTTACTTTGGCATTAATTGTACTTAATTTCATCAAAATATGTGTAAAGAAACAAAAGGATTTTGCATTTATGTCATGTCGTTCTCAACTCAGACCACTGTAAAGTGGTATTGGCTAGTTGGAATGTTCTCACTGTTGCAATGTAACGAATATAGGAGTTGGTTTCTGCACAGCAATGTCTCACAAATAGAAACGAGATAAACTGCTTTTACAGTTATGTAGAGAGATCAATTTTAACTAGGGCCGCAGACAGAACTCCCCCATTCAGCTGTTGAAATAATCTTGTAAATATTTCACAACAACGGCAACTCTTTTATACATTATATTTAACGTATTGAAACATCTTTGAGGCAAAATGTGACACAGGACAACTTACGGCAGAGTTAGTCACATTGTTGTAAAGCTTGATCAAAGAGTTTGGGCTTTAAGGTTGATCTTGCATCCACTTGAGGGGATTGGCAGGGACTCCGTTTGATGCCCCATATGAGAAATGTCACTTGCGATTGTGCAGCAATCCCTTGGTGTCTGTCTGCTTTAAGCTAGTGAGAGAGTGTGGTGCATAATGGAACGTTAAATCTCCTCCTTGGGTTCTGTGCACATGGGATGGTCTGATCTACAGCATAGTGATCTCCACCTTGGGCAAGGTGGCAGATTTCGAAGGTTGGAATTCTATTGACACTGATCTGATCTATACTGGCTGTGCAGAATCCCTAATGGGCTGTGGCAAAGTACACTTTTACATGCGTGTTGTTCACTGGAGATATGGATAGTGCTGGTAAAGATTCCAATTTTCTCTCTATTCTGTGCTGATCATAATCTCTCTCACTCTTTCCACCTTTCATTGGTATGTGTTGGAATGATTTACAAGTCACTTTATTTGACAGTGTTATGAACACCTCCTCATTGGCCATCAAGTCTTAGGCTGGGATTTGAACTGACACTTGACAGTCTCCTGGGGAGAGGGGGGTTGTACTCAGTGATTATTGAGTACAGATTTCCACAGGGGCAGAAGAAAAGATTTCTTCCCAATATTTAATTGGAGGAAGTTTTTCTTCCCCAAAACTGGGTATCAGGCAAGCAGCATGACACGATGACAAGTTGCATTTATATGGTGCCTCTGACGTCGAAAAGCATCCCAAGTTACTTCACCTGAATATTATCAGTAAAAATCTCTGTCAAACTTGTGGGGATGACTAAATGTAAGAGGACAAACAGTTGGTAAATGGAGGATAATGTGGAAAAATGTGAAGTTGTTCATTTTGGAAGGGAGAACAAAAGAACAGAATGCTATTTAAATGGGGAAAAACTGCAAAAAGCTGGAAGAACTTGGAGGAACTTGTTCATAAAACACAGAAAGCTAGCACACAAGCACAGCAGGTAATAAGCAAGGCTAATGGACTGTTGGTCCATATTTCAAGGGGGTTGGAGTATAAGAGTAGGGCAGTCTTACTGCAACTGGACAAGGTGCTGGTGAGACCACATCTGGAGCAGTTTTGGGCCCCTTATTTAAGGAAAAATATTATTTCATTGGAGGCACTTCAGAGGAAGTTCACTAATATGATCCCTGGTATGAAGGGATAGTCTTATGAGCAAAGGTTAAATAGATTGGGATTCTGCGCATTGGAGTTTAGAAGAATGAGAGGTTATCTCATTAAAACTTGGCAATTTTAAGGTGCTTGGTAGAAAAGATGTTTCCCCTCATGGGAAAGTCTGGGACCAGAGGGAAAGTCTCCCAATTAAGCGGGGCCAATTTAAGACTGGGATGAGGAGGAATTTCTTCTCTCAGAGAGTTGGGAGTCTTTGGAATTCCTTGCCACAGAGAGCTGTGGGGGCAGAGTCCTTGTGTATATTTAAGGTTGAGACAGAGAGATTCTTGTTCAGTTGGGGGTTCAGTTACGAGGAAAGGGCAGGAAAGTGGATGTGAGAAATTCTCATAAGAGTATAAAGTGTTACTCCTCTTTGTGATTCTTGTGAGTGTCCACCTGAGAACAAGACAAAAAACTTCAGTAAGATTTGTTTTCATTCAATCAGAGGACATGGGTGTATCTGGCTGGGTCAGCATATATTGTCCATTCTTAATTGCCCATAAAAAGATGGTGGGAGCTACCTATTTGAATTGATGCAATCCATTTGATGCAGGTAAAGCCACAATGAAAGAATACTGTGTTCGGTTCGGGTCTTCCTGTTATGGGAAGGATGTTGTGAAACTTGAAAGGGTGGGTAAAAGATGTACAAGGATGTTGCCAGGGTTGGAGGGTTTGAGCTATAGGGAGAGGCTGAATAGGCTGGGGCTATTTTCCCTGGAGCATGGGAGGCCGAGGGGTGACCTTTTAGAGGTTTATTAAATCGTGAGGGGCACGGATGGGGTGAATAGTTAAGGTCTTTTTCCCTGGGGTAGGGGAGTCCAAAACTAGAGGGCATAGGTTTAAGGTGAGAGGGGAAAGATTTAAAAGGGACCTAAGGGGCAACTTTTTCACACAGAGGCTGGTGCATGTATGGAATGAGCTGCCAGAGGAAGTGGTGGAGGCTGGTACAATTACAACATTTAAAAGGCGTCTGGATGGGTATATGAATAGGAAGGGTTTCGAGGGAAATGGGCCAAATGCTGGCAAATGGGACTAGATTTATTTAGGATATCTGGTCGACAAGGACGTGTTGGGCTGAAAGTTCTGTTTCTGTGCTGTACATCTCTATGACTCTATGACTGTAAATGGCATTATAGTTCCAAAGTACTGTTGATGTCCCGAGGGTAGATCCACATTGCTTTTAGAGTATTCCAGGATTTGACCCGGTTACAATGAAGGAACAGAGATATACATTCGGCTAAGGGTGGTGAATGGTTTGGAAATGAAATTGTGGTTGGTGTTGTTCCCATGTATCTGCTTCCCTTGGCTTTCTGGATGGTTGAGGTTGTTGGTTTGGAAGGTGCTGTCTGAGGAACCTTGGTGAACTTCTGCACTGCATCTCGTAGATGGTACACACTGCTGCTACTGAGCGTCGGTGGTGGAGCGAGTCGATGTTTGTGGATGTAGTGCCAATTGAGTGGGCTGCTTTGTCCTGAATAGTGTCGAGCTTCTTGAGTGTTGTTGGAGCTGTACTCATCCAGGCAAATGGGGAGTATTCCATCACACTCCTGACTTGTGCCTTGCAAATGGTGGACAGGCTTTGGGAGCCAGGAGGTGCGTTACCTGCTGCAGGATTCCTAACCTCTAACCTGCTTTGGTAGCCACATTATTTAAACATACTGTCCGGTTTATTTTCTGGTCAATGGAAATCCCTAGGATGTTGATAGTGGTGGATTGGCATTGGGGTATTGCCATCGAATGTCAAGGGGCGATGGTTAGATTCTTTCTTGTTGCAGATGGCCATTTCCTGACACACCTGGGATGTGAATATCACTTGTCACTTTTCAGCCCAAGGCTGGATATTGTCCAGATCTTTTTACATTTGAATATGGACTGTTTCAATATCTGAGGAGTTGCAAATGGTGATGGATGTTGTGCAAACATCAGTGAATGTCCCCACCTTATGATGGAGGGATGGTCATTGATGAAGCAGCTGTAGATGGTTGGACTGAGGACATTATACTTAGGAATTCTTGCAGAGATGTCCTGGAGCTGAGATGACTGATCTCCAACAACCACAACCGGCTTCCTTTGTACCGGGTATGAAACTTTTCTCATGATTCCCATTGATTCCAGTTTTGCTAGGTTCCACATGGTAGACTGGTTAGTAAAGTTAGATCACATGGGATCCAGGGAG